TTCTGTTAAATTTTGCTATTCTGACTGAGGTGAGATGATATCTCATAGTTATTTTGATTTGCATCTCTCTTAGAGCTAGGGATTTTGAACATTTCTTCATGTGTTTGTTGGCCATCTGAATATCTTCTTTGGTGAAGCATCTGTTCATATCCTGTGGCCATTTTTCAATTGGGTTATTTACTTTTTTCTTGTTGTGGTGCTCGAGTATTTTGTAAATTCTAGACATAAGTCCCTTGTCTGACATGTCATTATGAAATATTTTTTCCAAATCTGTGGCTTCCCTTTTTACCCTGTTGGAGAAGTATTTGGATGTGCATAAGGAATGGATTCTTAGAAGGTTCCATTCATCTATTTTATCCTCTCCTGGTTATAGATTTTTCAGGATGTTTGGAAGACTATTTATGTTGTGAATTAGGACTTCTAGGGTTCTTCCAAGCTTTTCTTTAATGAAGTTTATAGTCCTTGGTTTTAGTCCTAGGTCAATAATCCACTTTGAGTTGGTTTTTGTGTATGGAGTGAGGTGTGGATCTTGCTTGAGTTTTCTACAGATGTTTTCCAATTTTGCCAATACCATTTGTTAAAATCAGTTGACCATAGGTAGATGGGCTGATTTCTGGTTTCTCAATTCTATTCCATTGATCTATGTGTCTGTCATTGTACCAGTACCAAGCTGTCTTGTCCATCATGACAATGTAGTAGGATTTGAAATCAGGGAGTGAGATGCCTCCTACCTTGTTTCTCTTTTTAAAGAGTGCTTTGTTTATTCGGGATTTCTTTCCATTTCAAATGAAATTGGAGATAGCCTTTTCCATCTCATTGAAGAATGGAATTGGTATTTGTATTGGGATTGCATTGAAGGTAAACTGCCTTTGGTAGTATTGTCATTTTCACAATATTGAGTCTTCCTATCCATGAGCAAGGGATATTCTTCCACTTCTCCAGCTCTCTTTTTGTTTCTTGTAGTAATGTTTTATAATTTTCTTTGAATAGATTCTTTGTGCTTCTGGTTAGAGATACTCCTAGGTATTTAATCTTGTGATTAGCAACTGTGAAGAGTATTGTTTTTCTAAGCTCCAGTTCTGTTTTCTCTTTGTCACTGTAGAGAAATTCAATTGATTTTTGTATGTTGACCTTATATCCTGCTACTTTGCTGAATTGGTCAACTATGTCCAGCAATTTTCTTATTTCCTTGTCTTATTGCTATCACTAAGACTTCTAATACAATATTGAATAGGAGAGGTGATAGTGGGCATCCTTGCCTAGTTCCTGTTCTCAAAGGGAATGCCTTTAATCTCTCTCTATTGAGAACAATAGTAACAGTGACTTTTACAAAATTATTTTAACTGAAGCATACCAAAAAGTGCACAGGTCCTATTCTACAGCCTGAGGCATTTTCACAAATGTGCATACTGTGTACCATGCTCTCTATATGCATTCTTCTCTTTCAAATTGGACTTAAGAAAATGGAAGATATTCCTTGCAATTATTCTAACACCTCTAGAGAGAGCACTGAGGACAAGCACTGTTACAGAATCCCCAAACTTGAGATTGAATCACCAGCATTTTGGAGGCAGAATTCCCACTGACAGAGTCAAAGACACGAGTGTTGAGACTTAAGCTTTATTGTTGTTGTTATGTGCCGTCAAATTGCTTGAGAATCATAGCAACCCTATGTACAAGAGCCCTAAACCCTGTTCTATCCTGTGCCAACCTCATCGTCTCCAACACACCTACTCTCACTATCCCAATCACTGAATCGATCTATCTCATGCCCTCCCAAGCATGACGTCCCTCTCCAAGGACTGACCTTGCCTTGCAAACGTGTCCAAAGTATGCTAGATGAAGCTTCAGAATCTTTGCCTCCCAGGATCTGCCTGGTTTCACCCTCTCCAGGACGAACTTGTTTGTTCTCCTACGGTCCAACAGCACAGCTCAAAGTCATCAATTCTCCTT